AAAGAATAAATTAAATTGTTCCCAAACCTGGAGGGGAGGTTGCACAGAAGACAGGGACATCCCAGAAGAAACTGAAGAAACAACAATGTATGGCATGGGGAGAAATTCAGCATAAAGTAAAGGCAAATAAAAGTTAAAAAAGGAAATGAGAGATGGCTCCATGTCCGCTGGGTTCTGTTGGTACCGGAACCTCTCAGTGCACAGTCTCCCTGACTCACAGAGGTCTCACCCATTGCGTGTTGTCGCCAGTCTCGGTACCATGGACCCTTCGCCTCACTGCCTTTAGCCGTGTTGTGCTCCCAAGAGTCCATGTACTTGTTCCAGGAACCACCATTCTATCCTGATGTCCATGTCTCTAGACACATTTGTTTTCTCATGTGTCAGTCTTTACAGTTTAGCTGTGAGCACTTCAGTGCATGAACACTTAACTGGAGAGAAAACAGGCTTTGGTGTGTCAAATAAGACCTTTTATTTTCAAGCTTTTTTCATTTTTTAAATGTATTTTTATTTAATTAAATGCTATGTTTTTGCAGTGCTGGGAATGGAACACAGAACTTGGTGTATCTTTTTTAGCTTCAATTTTTTAACTGAAAATATATAATAATGATTTTATATGTTTTTAAGTGTCATGACATGACGGTTCATTATAACTATACATTGAATAATAGTTATATCAGTTTAAACATATCTCCTTAAACATTTATCACTTCATGGTGAAGATATTCAAAGTCCTTTCTTCTACCTTTTTGAAATGAATACTACATTAATTATCTAAAGTCTCTACTGTGCACACCAGAATTTGCTCTTGATTATTACTTCTTAGCCACTGATTAACCTCTCTCTCCTGACTCTTTACCCTTGACTCTCCTTAGCCTCTGGTATCACCATTCTTTTTTTTTTTGCTAATCATATATTCTACTTTTTTTTTTTTTACCTTTTATTTTATTTATTTATTTTTATGTGGTGCTGAGGATCGAACCCAAGGCCTTGCCCAAGCTAGGCGAGTGCTCTACCACTCAGCCACACCCCCAGGCCTGGTAATCACCATTCTATTCTAAACTTCCATGGTATCAAATTATTAGGCTCTCATAGCTGAGTGAGTCACGTGGCAACTTATCTTTCTGTGCTTAGCTTATTTTACTTAATGTAATGAACTCCAGTCCCATCCCTGTTGAATATACCAGAATTTTATTCTTTTTATGGCTCATTCATAATCCATGCGTATATCTACCATATTTTCTTTATCCATCCATCAGTTGATTGACAGATCGTTTAATTTCTTTGCTATTGTGAATAGTGCTACAATTAACATGGGAATTCGGAAGTCTCTTCAACAAATTGATTTCATTTCTTTTGGATATATGCCCAATGGAATTGCTGGATCTTACAATAATTCTATTCAAATTTTTTTTCAGTGTTGGGATCAACCCCAGGACCCGCAAGCATTCTACCACTCAGCTATATTCCCAGCCCCTATTTATATATTTTTGAGGACCATCCATACCATTTTCTATAGTGGTTGTACTATAATTTACATTCTCACCAACAGTGTGTAAGGATTTCCTTTTCTCCACATCTTTGCTAAGACTTATTATCTTTTGACCTTCTGATAATGTCCAACTGAACGATGTGATATCTCATTATGGTTTTGATTTGCATTTCTTTGATGCTTAGGGGTGTTGAGCATTTTTTTTCAATATATGTGTTGACTATTTGTGTTGTCTTCCTTTGATAAATGTTTCTTCTATTGCCCACTTCGGAATCAGGTTATTTGTATGTTGCTATTGTCAACATATATTCTGCATATTAACCCCATATAGTTTGCAAATATTTTCGCTCATTCTATATATTCTCTCTTCTAAAACACAGGCATTTGTGATAGGGTCTTCATATCCTTCAACAACATTTTCTGCTTTCAGATTCTTGGTTTCAAGTGGAGGGTGAGGAGGCAACTTCTCAAGGAGGGTCCCAGGCTTGGGCTCCCAAGGCCAGTTCAACCATCCTGAGAGCCTACCCTTGTGGAATGTGTGGTCCAGCCATGAAAGATGTCTTGCCGCTGACTGAACAGCAGGGAATGCATCCCAGGCACAAAATGCATACATGTGGGGCATATGGGAGAGAATTCTAGTTTAGTATAAGTATCCCCTAGCCCCAGAGTAGCACAGTGGGAAGAAACACCGAAGAGGTGGTAAAGACAGGGCTTTGGATATTAAAAATGGTAGAGTACACAAGCCAGAGATTCCTGTGAGGGTGGTGGGAAGGACTTCCTACACAGCTCATGCCTTCTGCATCATCAGATCACTCACACCAAGGAGAATTTACCCATAAACCCTGAGTACCCAAAGGCTTTTCACACTGCCAAAGAACATTATAGGTGTAGTGGATTTGGGAAATCCTTCAGTTACACACACAGCTTTCTTCAACACCAGAAAATTCACACTGGACACAAGTCTAATGAGCGTAGTAAATGTGGTAAATCATATACTATTGTATTCTATTTGCAAGCTATTATTTTAATTGTATACTACTAGTGTCTTAATTTCTGAGTTCAAATTAGCATAGACTGAGTGGCTTAAAAAATAAACATCTATTTGTCATAGGTCCAGAGGCTAGACACTGGCTGATCCAGTGTCTGGTGAAGGCTCTCTTTATGGCAGATGACTGTTTTCTGGTTGTAACCTCAGGTAGGCAGAGAGCAGAGAGAGGAAGGAGAAGAAGGAGGTCCTATCTCTTCTCATGAGGGCACTAGTTTCATTACGAGAGTTTCACCCTCATCTTCTTATTACCTCCCAAAGGCCTCAAGGCCCCATTTCCAAATGGTACCACATTGGGCATTGTGGTTTTAACCTATGAATTTGGAGGGACACATTTAGTTCATAGCAATGAAATTTAAAAATCAGTGTTATCACATTATTGGGCTGAAGAAGGAAACTCCTATGATTGTGTTATGGGCCAGGCTACATGCGCTATGACCAAACAGACTCCATTTTACCCTGAGACTGCATATCATGTAAGAAATGCTTCTCCCGTGGGAAAGCCCCACTCTGTACCCATTCACAGTCATCTGGCATAACATACTTGGCAACACAAAATAGCAATTCTTATACAAAGTAAAATTGTTCTCTTTGGTTTCCATGTTTCTTGGGCAATGTACCTTGTCAGAGGTTGATTGTCTTTAACTTGTACTGAACTACAAGTTGAACAACTACTACTGCTTGCTTGCTGCTATGCCAACCTGGAAAGTCCCTCTGGAAATACCAGTGTACTCATTGCATTGTCTTGCTAACTGCCCAATTCACCTTCTGTACCTGCTTGCTTGCAGCTACATCAATCCAGATGTGGTTTTTGCCTGCCTTGCGGGTAGCAGTCGCCAAATGGCTGGCTATATAAAAACTCAATTTGGACAAAACTGGGACTTGGTGAATATATACAGAAAACATTGACAAAAATCTAACACTCATGATAAAATCTGTTGGCAAATCAGTAATAGAGTAGAATCTCCTCAACTTGATACAAGCCAGATAGAAAACCATTTAACTAACATTACAGTTAATGGATAGAAAATAAATGTTCCCTTACTTAGATCACCAGCCTACACCATTCTTGCTTGATGTTAGAGAATGACATTATCTAATATCAGTACTTACTGTAAAGTTACAGTTCTCAGGGTGGTGTGTATTGGTGAAGAATAGATAAGTCAATGGAACAGAATAGAGATCCCAGATATAGATGCACTCATATTTAATCCTGAATTTTTCTATATAACTTGCATTTTAATATTAAAAAGGTCATCATTTTAAAAGAACATTGACCAAAAAACATGGAATTCTCAGAAATACACACTAGATCAATAAACATGACAAGATTCTCAATCTAAAAACAAACAAATGCAAATTTAAACAACAATGAGTTACAATTTCACACCTAATAGAATGCTAAATTTTCAGTTTCACAAAATTGAGCAGTGACACTAATGGTTGGCAACCGAAATACATATGAACTCTGGTAGGAGGGTCAATCCGTACTATTTTGAAAAGCAATCTGTCATTGTATAATAAAGTCATAGATGGAACACACTTTGCCCTGGCAAATGTTATTCCTTACTATATACTCTAAGCCTTGGGAGGAAGCCAGCTGAGGCCACAGTGGTTTTTTTTTTTTTAAACTCCGGCCCTTACAGTAATTAAATACCACATTCACAAGACAGACCGTCAAAACATTGTCTAATTAACATCAGACACATAAGGACAAGAAAATTCATAGCCACACTATAAAAGTCAAAATTTAAAATTTAAAAAGAAAGCAAATAACCAAATATACACCAATACTAGATTGTTCTGGCCTATACAGAGCTGAAAAAAAATCATAATTTTGTAAGATATGAATGGCAGATAGAGAATAAATTACAATCTGTGTAATTTATTCTGCTCTATCAGCCATTCAAAATTCTCTTTCCAAGGGATTTTTTAATTTCCTAAAGGGTGTCCACCACCCCTTCAGGCAGGCTGGACAGTCAGACAAAGCCAAAGCAGCACGTCAGGGGACAGAGGCGGGTCAGGCTGACAGTTGTGAGAGGAGCGATTCTTCCCAGGGTCAGGGTTACTATCATCAAAACGCTCGCTACAGTTCATTATTTCCAGGTTTTTTGTGAGCCTGTAATGCACACCTGAATGGCCGACATTAGTGCCATCGAGATGCCTTGTCCTCATGAACTTCCGGAAATGTCTTGGGTTGGTGGACGACGACTGTTGAGACGGTGCGGCCACTGGGCATCGTGGGAGCTATAACAGTTCAGAGCAAGCGGACGCCAAGTATCCCACACGACGCGGACAACGTGACAACAAAAGTCGGCTAAGCAAAGGCCAGTTCTAGGGCGCCAACAAGGAGGAGAGCGCTTTTGGAACTCACCGATGACCCGGAAGACGGTCGTCGCTGCCGCGTGGCTTTCTGGGAAGTGTAGTTTCGTGGTCTGAACGTTCACGTAAGGAGAGCGTCGCCTTTGTCCTGGGAAGGATAGTGAGCCGGAAGACGCTGTGTGCTCCCGTCCCGCTGAGCGCACATCCCCGTTGGCCCGCTTTGGGGAGACATCTCCCGGCGGTACCATTTCCTAGAAAGCCGAGGCCGTTTTCCTCGCGGCGCGCCGCGGCCGCAGAGGCTCCCGGGAAGTGTGGTTTCCGGAGTTCCGCGTCCCCCGTGCCCGGAGCGTCCGTTCCGGACGCGGAGGGGTCCGGACAGGTCGCTGGACTGTGGCGTCCGCTCTGGGCTCGTCCCGCGACGCTGCCCGGCCTAGCTCCGCTCTTCTGGAATCGGTTGGGAGTCTGGGCGGACTATTTCCGGGAGGCGGCGGCCGTTGCCGGCTCTCTGGCGTCCGGAGCGTCAGGTACGCAGAGATGCCCGCTCACGACGCCTGGCGGCTTGGCGCCCGCGGGGTGCTGCTGAGGACTCGGGCAGGTGTGGGTCCCGGGGAGGCTGCCGGCGGAACACGGCGCCTCACCAGATCCCCGGAACTGGCCGACTGCAGGGTCCTCCCGGCGCCGGGTCCTCGAGTGCGGCCTTAGAGTTACCCGGCCTCCGTGTCCTGCTCTGTAGAGAGGGAGTGAGGAGGGACGGCGCTGGCCTCCCGAGAGCCGGGGAAACGCACCGCGCGAGTGCCCGCAGTCCGGGCTCAAGACAGATGCCATCCACAGTTTGAATGTTATTCAGTCAGGACCCTGACGCCGCTGGTTTTGTAATCCTGATCATACGTTTTAAGTATCTCTTGGGTTTCTGTTGTCATTGTTTAACAAGTAAGTCCAGAATAACGTGAATGCCTGTCATGCCTAGAAGGGAAGATAGAACGTGGTGATGCTCCACATTATTTTATTGCTTTATGCATCTGCCTCTTTAGTACACAGTAGTTGATTTTCGTCACCGGTGGAACCTGGTGAAGGTTTACTTCTGTCAGAGACGAGAGCCCAAGAGAGTGATTACCAGTGTGCTTTTCCATTATGGTGAATCACAGAGCTCCAAAAAATGCCTGACCTTCCCCCCCACCCCCCTTGCTCTGCTTCTCAGGAACACTACCCATCCGTAAGCCACGAGGCTAGAAAAGGAACTGTGTGGACTATTGGAAATTGTAATGACTCAGGTAAGTCTGCATGTCCCCAAATCTTTCTGAAATGCTTTCTTACTAGCATTTTCTAGTGTTCACTTTGGGGCTGCTTCCAGTTCCCACTTAAGAACATTTAGGGATTAGATTTATGGTTCCTTCTGTTATAGGAGAAGATAGAGCCCACAGGAGAGTTGCAAGGTACTGTTCTCTCTCAGTTCAACCATAATTTTATACTAGAAGACTCTTTGGAGTCGTTGCCCCAAAATTTAAAATTATAATTCAAAACACAAGTTTGGAGTTTTAGGTTGTTTGCTTTATGGTTGTCATGTGGTCTGAATGGTGTATGGGTCCTGCCAGTTGCTCAAATGAAGAGATGTCTGGAGTTGTCCTTGATTATTTTCATGTATTACATTCAAATGCTCTAGGTGGAACTAAAGTATAAACAATATATATAAAATCTGACTTGGTTACCCCACCACTCCCTCTACCACTGTGCCTCTGATCCAAGCTCTCTGGATTATTGTAGTAGCTACTAGCTAGATTCCTTGCTTCTGCCCTTTACTCTCTTCAGTCTTTTCTCAACAGAGCTGTCACAGTGGATTCTGCTGTTTTCTAAAATTCTGTCATCCCTTGACTTAAAAGTTTTTAGTGGCCCCAACTCAAAATGGAAGTTAGATTTGCAGTGATGTATGAAGTTTGAACAATTAGGATATTATCTCTCTGATCCCACCTCATTTTCTGCCTTTCTTGTCCCTGTGAGTGCAAGTGATTGCTGCCAGGCCTTAGAAGTTGCTGTATCATCTTCTTGGAATGTTTTTTCACCAGATATGTACAAGCTTTCAGTGACCTTCTTTGTATCTTTGCTTGATGATTACTTCCTCAGGAAAATTTCTCTGAACAACTTTTTAAAATTGTAGCCACCTTCCCTGACCTGTCACTTCTGCCTTCATCACTGCTTTGTGTTACATGTGTTCAGTGTTGAGATCTGCTCATTGTTTGTCTCCTCTTACTGGAAGGAATACTGTTTTTCTTTTTTGTGTATTCAGAGTAGTACCTGGCACCAAGCAGATGCTTAGTAAATATTTACTGAGTGAATAAAATAAGTGACAAAAAAAATGGGCAGAATTATGGAGTGGAAGGTGAAGCTTTGAGAAAATTAGACTATTAGAAAAACTTTTTTTGAGATACTGGGGATCAAACCCAGGGCCTCATGCATGTTAGGCAAGCACTTTACCACTTGAGCTACATCCCTAGCCCTCTTATTATTATTATTTTTTTAAACAAGGACAGGAATACCAAAATCATTTGTTGATTTATCTTCTAAGCAATTATAACGCACTTGGTAGGAAAAATTGTACATCAGTTTGGGTATACACTGATAGGACTTCCTAATGTGGTACAGTACTGTCTAAACTTTCTACATTGGTGGAAATGTTCTATATGTGTGCTGTCTAGTACAACAGACACCAACCTCCTATGATTACTCAGTATAATTTTAATCTAATTTTTAATTTATATAGCCAAACTGGTTAATGGCTACTGTATTGAGCACTGCAGGACTGGAAGAAAAATAAGAAAGCAAAAGATATTATGGGACAAATGCTAGGACAGATCTCCTGAATTCTTTCTGGGACAAAGATAGTGAACCCCAGGATACCCAGGCAATTGAAAGGAAGAAAGGGTTGAACCACCCCTGGGGAAGTAAGGGTACATTGGCTGTGGTGACATAGCAACAGGGAGGAAGCTATAGAAGTGAAGTTATATTGAAAACCCCTGAGTATAGATAGAGAGGCCTTAGCAGGTCTTTCAAGGAGCTACACACATTTTCTAAAGCGGTGGTTCTCAAACCAGTGATTTTACCCCCTCTGGCTGTACCCATAGGAGATATTTGGTGATGTGTAGACATTTTTGTTTTTTTCCAGTTATCACAGCCTGGATGGGGGTGAGATGTTATTGCTCCTGGCATCTAGTAGGTAGAGTCCAGGAATGCTGTTAAATGTTCTGTAATGCACAGGATAGCTCCCCACAACAAAGAATTATCTAGCCCAAAATGTCAATAGTGTCAATGCTGTACTAAATAAAGAAGAGAGAATATCTGTTGTTGAGATTATGTGGATTTTTTCTTTAATATTAATATATGTTAAAAAAACATGAAATGACTTTATGGAATGAAAGGTAATGTTTTATGTGTCTATTTTGTGTTGAATTTTTTATTAGGCTTATCAGATTAAATTTGCAAAAGCTAATAATTTAAAAACTATTATGGAAAATAGGAAAAGATAGAAAACATTCAGTTCATATATGACTTAACCCTGTAGTACCTGGCTAAGTGCAAACAGGTTTAAATAAATAATAATAAAAAATAAAAAAGGAAGGAGACTTCCATATCCTTTTCTAGAGTATTTTCTTGTGAAAAATCTATAATTGTAAAACCATTCCCCATCCCTTTGAGTCGTGTGTAAATTTTTTTAAAAGTTAAATCAGCCTCTTGCCCATTTTGCTAGTCCTAAAAGTATTGAAGTCATCATTTTGAAATGTAGACATTATGGAAATTAGTGTCCATCTCTGCGGTATGTGAGTATTTAGCCTAGGTTCTGGCTCCAAGTTGTAAAGACTTGCTTGTCATTAAGATATGAAAAAAAAATTTTATTTTTCTTTGGGATAAATGCAATGAACTAACCCATGGACACTCCAATTAACAGGTGAATTTAGGATGAACTATAAGGTGGCATGTTTTTCTGTTAAGTCCTCTTAGTTGAGGACAGTTACCATTTATTTGAAAACATGTATATAATGGATTATATCTTCCTGGCTTTGTAAAAGAGTGAGATTTCTTTCTGTCCTGGCAATCTTTAGTGGGTTTCCTGTGTAGTGCATCTGTTTGGTTTATTGCTTATTCAAGAATGCAACTTTTCTTTCTTTTCTACATTTGTGGAGAGGATCTTCTGCATTGGTAGGAGATTCAGTTTTTAATTATTTTCTCAGCACTTGTCAAGGGTAAATCCCCCCTTTAAAACTAAAGATGTGTTACTGGTGAACGTACATATAAAACACTGTACATGAGTAGTAAAATATTAAATCAACCTCTCTCGTAATGAAAATTTACCACTGCCAAGTCATGTCTTTTTGTAAATGAAAGCAACAATGCCACTTTAAATGAATATATTTTAATTTGACCAACCAATAATATATTATTGAACATTTAAACTTTTTCTAAAGTTTTGCCATTTTAAATAACATTATGAATGAATTCTGTTGAGAAGAAATTTCTAAACACATCTGTGAGCTTTCCTTTAGAATATAGTCTCTGATATGTGTCCTTTCTTTTATTTTTTTACCCTTACTTTGAGATCCTGTTAAAGTACTATCTATTGGCATGAAGCCATCTGTCAGTCTTCTCACCCATGGGTGTCAAATTATTTTAATTGTCGGTGACTGGCAATACAAGGCTTAAGGATACACCATAAATATACTTTCTTTTTTGTTCATAAATTATTTATGTATATGTCAGTCCATTTGTGCTTCCATGCAGAATATCACAGACTAAGTAATTTATAAACAATAGATATTTATTTCCCACAGTTCTGGCAGCTAAGAAGTCTAAGATTAAGGGGCCAACATCTGGTAAGCCTTCTTGCTGCATTATCCCATGGCAGAAGGGCACAGAAACAGGATATAGAACTCATCCTTTTAAAATGAACTCCCTCCTACCATATCAGTTATCCTTTCATGAAGGCAGAGCCCTTGTGACCTAATTACCTCTTCAAGGTCCCAATTCTTAGTATTGTTATGATGGCAGTTTAGTTTGTAGCACATGCCTTTTGAGGGTCATGTGCAAACCATAGCAGTTTATGTTTATCAGTCTTTAATAGAAAAATGTCTTTTTCTCTGAATCCATTAGATCATTCTTTTTTCCCTTGAACCTTAGTGAATCATCTTGAGTATCTCATGTGAGAGAAATTGGTTTGGCCTTATTTTTCATTACTTACATGACACTTAACGTATATAAGATTTAACTAAGTACTTTAATGTATACTGTCAAATGTTGAATGCTGATTATTCAAATTTTGTATACTTTTATTCTCTTTGATGAAGTTAACTCTTCTGAAGCAAAGTTCTTGTATGTGCCTGTCATTTGTACTATATGACAATGCTGAGCACATAATTATTCAGTTATCGTGTAACTGAGTTTGGATTTCTGATCATTATCACAAGTCCTGAATCTTGTTTGCTTTCTTCCACAACCAAGAAATTTTACCCCTTGTACAGTGTTAGAAGAGGCCTGGGCTGTGGTTGAATCTAAATATCTTGCTGTTTTAGGTGACATTTAGTGATGTGGCTATAGACTTCTCTCATGAAGAGTGGGCATGGTTAGATTCTGCGCAGAAGGATTTATACAAGGATGTGATGGTGCAGAACTATGAAAATCTGGTCTCTCTAGGTAAGATATCTCCCCCTCCACTGCAGTGAGGGAGATCTTTCTTTTGCTACTCCAATTGCTGAAGCTCCTCCTACGTAAATGGCTGAATTTCTGTGCCATGTTCCGAAGGGAATGTGTAGCTCCTTTGTGCCTACCTGAAGCTTATCTTCTCATTTCAGTGGACATCCTTCCACCCTTCCTTTGGTTGCTCTTGTGATGGTCTCTCAACCTTGAGGAGCATAGCTTTAAAAAGTTCTATATTCTTTCTGTAAGCAGGTCTTTCCATAACTAAGCCATATGTGATCACTTTATTGGAGGATGGAAAAGAACCCTGGATGGTGGAGAAAACACTATCAAAAGGTATGCTTCTGGGTGAGTCTAGTGAATCAAGCAAAGGAGGTCTTTGTTAAAGATGCTTATTGTGAGTGTGAGTGTGGAGGCATTTTAGGGACACTAAAATGAGATCTCAGAGGTAAACAAAATTGAGGTACCCTCAGCTTAGATTCAAAACAGTCACCCCACTCCCAGATTATTCAGAATAATATATGATATGATATTAGACTCATATCATCTAATCAGAAGTGAAGGGTTTTGCCATTACAGTAATTCAAATTCCTATTTTATTCATAACACAGTAAGACAAATTATTTTTTAGTCCCATTTAAGGAAATGGACTTACTGATTGTTTTAAGTTAAGAAAAGTTGTCAATTAGATGAAAAATCACTTTGTCTTTAACGCTGAGTTTCTTGGGATATACGTGAACATAAATGTTAGTGGAAATAAGAAATGTATTAGAATATATTTCTAAGAATAATATTTTCTAATGTCCAGTAAGTTCTCATATGATTTCACACAGATATTATATAAACTCAGAAAGTCTTAAACTTTATTACCAAAAAGGAGCACATAGATATATTTTGTTGTCATTGTAACTGTTTAATGTAGTAGTATAAATTCTGTATTTCACGCATGTTAATCTGGCAGCTAGTTGAGATTAACTGAAAGTTGCACAAGAAAAATGTAAAGTAGAATGTGATCTTTCATATGAGTATAGGCACAAAATGATGGCTGAATACAGAATGCTTTCTACATTTTCTTCCTAGAATAGCTTCATTTTTTTCAAATAGTGGTTGTCTACATTTTCCTCCTTTCGCTTGTTATACTCTGTTCCTGCTTCTGTGAGCTCTCTGTATTTTCTGTGCCTCACTTCAGCATTGTTCAGAATCTTTGAAATACATGAATTGTTAGAGCCATGTATTTTCTAGAGGCTTTGTTTCTTATCTAATTCTCCTATTTCCATCTGAGAAGTTTCCTCTCAAAAGTATAGAAAAAGCATTGCTTTGCTTTCTTGATGTATTTCAGATTGGGAATCAAGATGGGAAAACAAGGAATTATCAACAAAGGATATTTATGATGAAGATTCACCCCAAACAGAAAAAATAGAAAAAAACATAAGGCGGCATTGTGAATTTTCAGATTTTAACAAGAACGGAAAATATAAAGGGAAGTTGGAGGGGAAGGATGGACATCAGGTAGAACATTGCAGACTAATGACCCTCACCTTTAGTGAGAGCCCCTCTGGGGAAAGTGTTGACAAATACAGTACGTCATTTAGAAGCATCTTCCATGTAAAGCCTACTCTTTCTGAACCACAGAGTATTTCTGCTGAAGGGACATCGAATAAATATGATATGTTAAAGAAGAGTTTACCAATAAGGTCAGTTATAAAAAACGAGAAAATCTGTGGCAGAAAGAAAGTTTTGAGTTCTAATGAAAGTGTGGCAACTTTTAGCAAAAGCAAATCTCTTACCCTTCATCAGACTTTTAATAGAGAGAAGATCTATACATGTAGTGAATGTGGGAAAGCCTTTGGTAAACAATCAATCCTTAATCGCCATTGGAGAATTCATACAGGAGAGAAACCTTATCATTGTCGTGAATGTGGGAAGACTTTTAGCCATGGCTCATCCCTTACTCGACATCAAATAAGCCATAGTGGAGAGAAGCCTTACAAATGTACTGAATGTGGAAAGGCCTTTAGTCATGTCTCTTCTCTTACTAATCATCAAAGCACTCACACTGGAGAGAAACCATATGAATGTACGAACTGTGGAAAGTCTTTTAGTCGTGTTTCACATCTCATTGAACATCTGAGGATTCATACTCAAGAAAAACTTTATGAGTGCCAAATATGTGGGAAGGCCTTCATTCATAGGTCATCTCTTATCCACCATCAGAAAATACATACTGGAGAGAAACCTTATGAATGTAGTGGATGTGGGAAAGCTTTTTGCTGTAGCTCACACCTTACTCGACATCAAAGAATTCACACTATCGAGAAACAATATGAATGTAACAAATGTCTGAAAGTCTTTAGTAGCCTCTCATTTCTTATTCAACATCAGAGTATTCATTCTGAAGAAAAACCCTTTGAATGTCAGAAATGTAGGAAATCTTTCAGCCAGCCTGAATCACTGAATATGCATTTGAGAAATCACATTAGATTGAAACCTTATGAATGCAGTATATGTGGGAAAGCCTTCAGTCACAGGTCATCCCTGCTTCAACATCACAGAATTCACACTGGAGAAAGACCTTATGAGTGTATTAAATGTGGGAAGACCTTCAGCTGTAGTTCAAACCTTATTGTACATCAGAGAATTCATACTGGAGAAAAGCCATATAAATGTGATGAATGTGGAAAAGCTTTTAGTAAAGGTTCAAATCTTACTGCCCATCAGAGAACACATAATGGACAAAAACCCAGTAATGCAGTAAATATGGAAAGGTCTTTAGACCGTATAAATCAGTATGCATATGAGAAATCATACAAGAGAGAAACTATGTGAAGCATCATTTTTCATAATAAATTTCAGCCACAAATCCTAATTCAATATCAAAATTTTTGAGAACAGCCTTACAAGTGTAGTGTTTATGGGAAGACCTTTATGATGAAACCTTTATTGTCTATCAGAGTTCATGCTATAGAAAACCATAAGAGGATAACAAATGTGGGAAGGCCTTTGTCAGTATTAATCCCTTAGTTGACAAAAGTAAATACAGACAAGAAAAAAAAAAAACTATACACATAGCAGATTTAGGAAAGATTAGGTAGTATGAATCTCTTACAAACTCATATGGGGGAAAAGCTATAGGAATATAGAAAATTCAGAAATTATGGGCAGTCCTTCATTCAATGTATCCCTCATCTTACATCAAAGAATTCACATTGGAGAGAAATCTGATGTAAAAAAGGTAGTATTTGCTAAGGGTTAGTTTGCTAAACATCAAGACATGAATCGTAGAACAACTTGAAAGATGTAGGAATTATGTATATATCTTTCTTTGCAATAATACTATTTGTAAACAGTTTTACAGAAGAGCAGACAAGCATATTATAAATAAATATGCATCTCATAGCAGTAACTTGCAATTTGAGACCTACATGGAAATTAGTTTTACCTAATGGGTATGTGAAGATACTTAGTCATCCAGTGGATCCAATAAATGTTATAATGTTGAAAAATCAAAGCTGCAAAAGAAGAATGGGGTCTCTAATAAAACAATTTTATACATAAGGAAATTTCACTGTGGCTCTATTTCTTGCGGAATTTTTGTTGTTGTTACTTCTTAAAGCTAATTTTAGTCATACTTTAACGGGAAACTGGCAAACCTAAGGAAAAATAGCCTGGTCTGTGTGCAAAGAATATTATTTTGGTGAAGAAAATTTGTAGTTCACTTCTTATGGGCTTTATTTAATTCACATATTTCAAGATAATTTGTTGAGCATTACTCATATATTACAGGTCCATGGGTCAGGAATTTTAGTGAACTTTAGTGGTATGTCAGAATCACCAGGAGAGCTTGTTCAAACACTGATTGCCAAGCTCCACCTCCAGAATTTCTGTATCAGTTTAAGGTGAAGAATTGGCATTTTTTACAAGTTGTCAGGTAACACTAATGCTGCCTGCCAGGAAGCACCTTTTGATAACCACTGTAACAATTAATAAATTTATCCTTTTCTCAGGGATTGGAGTTGTCAAAAGAGAATAATAGCAAATTTGAAATAACTCCCAAATGCTGTGACAACAATTAAGAAGCAATCTATTACGAGAGATTAGAGTGTGCTTTGCTGTGGTGAGCTTTCAATCTAAATCCTGATTTTGTAACCATGTGTCCTGTAGATGTTGTGTGCTGTGGAATTCTAGGTAAAGTAGGCAAGCAAGTTCTCTCTTACATTGTACAGCTGGACTCTGTTCCAGTGTCTAATTTCAAGTTCTGTAGCTTTGAAATACTGCTGCCTGCAGCATTGGTAACAGCAGAGTCATTTTTCCATCCCTTGGTCAAGTTATGGGTTTTTACCTTGAAATCAGTAGTTCAGAAGTAGTAGTCATTACTTTTGCCAGCCTGCCAATTTTGAAAGCTTTAACTTCCTGCATTATGTTTTCGTAAAATACTTAAAGAGTTTCTGTTTTCTGCACTAAACTTAATATAGTATGTGAGGAGGATGGCTTCACATATTCTAAGTTCTTGGTAAGAAATGGAATAGTCTTGGTGACCCTGTGGCTTCCTATTTTGTGATTAGAAAGATAGCACAGATTAATGTGATTAGGAGTGTATGGTCACCTGCAAGCAATGGGCAGTTACGTAGCTTATGTTTCATATTGTGTTCTTTATGGCATTTTGGAGTTACAAATAAAATGTTGTCTTAAAAATGAATATTTTATTGATATAAAATATCATGGAATGAATGACAGGGTTTCTGATTTTAGGCAAGATGCTCTCTAATAGCTGTGTAACTTTAAATGAAAGCCAAAGCAGGGAGCATAGTTCAATAGCAATGCCCAATGCTCAGTAGAGATGGTGGGCTGTGAATGAGATAGTGATTTTTTTTTTCTTTGTTGTGGGGATCAAACCCAAACCTTCATGCATACCATGGCAAGTGCTCTACCACTAAGCCATCATGGGGTGGTAAGTTTTTAATATTCACCGAGATGTATCTTTGATTTATTTTTAGTGACAAGATTTATTTTGAAATTCTATGGAATGCTGAAGGATCTTTAAGAGAGTTATAATTAAGGAAGCATGGCATGGTGTGTGTATATATATTTATTTATTAATGGCAGTAGCTATGTTTCATTTTCTTTCCCATGCCCTCCCAAGCAACTGGTACTGCAAAAATGAAGTAGTTCTATGGTCATTTAATCACTAGATTTTACTCGCTTTCATTACCATTGTTTTTTTTTAGCTTAACTTAAATTAATTAATTAATTTTTATGTGGTGCTGATGATTGAACCCAGTGTCTCACACATTCAAGGCAAATGCTTTACCACTGAGCTACAGCCCCAGCTCCCACTATCATAGTTTATACCACTTTGACATTTTGTTATGAGAGGAATCATGTAAATATCAGTGTGAACTCATTATTTTACAATTCTTGAGTTAAAGTGCCTTTACAATGGCTCAAAACTAGGGGATAAGAAACCAAATTTTAAAATAAAGACAGGGTTTTAGAAAAGCAATGAAATGATGTTACCTTATGGTAAAAAATTGGGCTAAGATCTTAATAATATGCCTTAATTGACAGAATAATATTGTTTGTTTCCAAATAATATTATTTGTTTCCTCAGGTCTGTTAACCATTTCTTGAACATCTGCTGTGGGCTAGACAAATAAGACCATACCTTTCAAGAGCTAAAAGCTTTGTGTGTTGTGTGTGAGGAGCACAAACTCTGGAGCCTGCTATGTGGATTTGAGCCAGGTTGCATGTTTACGGGCTTTGTGTGACCTTGGACAAATTATTCCAGTGTGTCCTGCCTTAGTTTTTCCATCTGTAAAATGATAATAAGACCTATCTCACTGAATTATTATGAAGATTAAATAAGTTACTTGGTATAAAACACAACAGTGGCACCTCAAAAACGGTAAATATTAGCTATTGATTTAATCATTTTTCGTGGCTGCTTTGTCATTCTAGTCTCAAATGTCACATCTAGTGTGTCTTCCTAATCACTTTTCACTCTTCTACTTACTGTTACACTTTTTGTGGGGAGAGGCCTTATAAAACACTTTCATTTCCTTCTAATATCTCCTTTGGTGTCTGAACCATTTTGAAGGGAAACATGTTTCTTGCCCCAAATAACCCAAGGACACAAAGAGACCAGGCAGAAGGTGAAACAAGTATGCAGTAGGGATGTGGGAACACTTCCAAATCCTACAGATTTGGATAAGGAGAAGAATAAAGAAGTTTTAAGTCACTGCAGGGAGAAGAGGAAAAGCTTTACTTTGTGAGGGCTGAAGCCTGCAAATCTTCAGCATCATCCCAGTACAGGATCCCCTGGGCTGCCTGCAACTGCTCTCTTCCTGAATGAAGGTTACAGCCATGTCACTGCACACTGATGCCTGGTAAGTCAGTCATGTTATTAGGCTTGGGCTAGTCGGGCATGATTACAACCTCTTGATCAGTCATTAGTAAATATTTAGAGAAGAAATCAAGGCACATACCACATTACTTTCTGGGAGCCTCGCTCTATGTTGGACTCCCAGGGGGAGTCAGACACTGTCTTTAAACAGGTTGCAATTGGGGTAAAAAGGCTATGTAGAGAAGTCACTGATGAAAGAAAACAATGACAAGGTCATAAGGCCTAAGAGGTGCAGAACATAAGTGTTCTGGCATTAAATGTGTATAGGGGAAAATTCAATAATAATACAGTGTTTGTACCTTATGGGTGTGTGTTGGAGGTTTTGGGGGCAGCATTTATAAATTAAATTAATAAATTTAATTAAGAAATTAAATATTCCCAGTTCTGGACCTGTGTTTGAATTCAGCCTATTGATTCTGACATTTGCCAATTATATAATTTTGGGGAAGTCACATTTTTCCTGATTTCTGCTTTGAAATGGTGGTATAAGAATTAGAAAATATTCATCAAGTAAACACTGCAGTGCTTGGCACATGTAAGTTGAGTGGTGTGTTTTTTCTTCTTTTAGTAATCTTTCCACAGACTATAAGGCAAATTCCATAATCATCTCCATGTTAATAGTGACCTGAGACTCAATTGGTTCTAACAAGTTCCCCAAAGTTATCCCTTTTAGGGAACATAGGCTAGATTTGAACATCCGTCTTCCTTACTATTTGCTATACTTTGGATCTTGAATGTTTCCCCAAAGCCCCTATTTTGAAGGCTTTGTCCCCAACTGTGGCACTATCAGGAAGTGGTGAAACCTTTAGGAGGTGAACTAAGGAAAGAAGTGAGGTCATCGGGAGTGTGCCCTTGAAAGGAATATTGGGACCTGGGCCTCCTTTTCCTTTTCCTTTGCTTCCCAGTTGCCAGGAGGTGAGCAGCTTCCTTTGTGCTCCTGTCATGATGTACTGCTTTTCCAGATAGTCAAAGGAATGAGCCAAACACTCATGGACTGAAACCTTTAAAAATGTGAGCTAAAAAAACATGAACATCTATGTGCCAGCAATTAGAAAAAAAATAATCAGGCAAAATACATAAATTACCTAAATCTACTCAAGAAGAAATAGAACATCTCAACAGTCAGAGGCAACAGTGAGTTGTACTGATTAGCACCAATTCTCAAACACTTCCAAACAATTAAAGGAAGGGAACACATCCTAAATCACTTTATGAGGCCAACATGGCTCTGATAGCAAAGGCAGAGAAAGACATCACAGGAAAATTATAGACCAATGTCCTTTATGAACATAAACATAAAAATTCTCAACAAAATAGAATCCATTAGTACATAAGAGGTTTATTCTTCATGACCATGTGGGATTTATCCCAGGAGTGCAAGGATGATTCAATATTAAAAAATCAGTGTAATTAATCTCACTAATAGAATGAAGAAAATTCTATGCAATCAATTTATATATAGTACCCTTTCATGATAAAAATTTTCAGGAACAGAGGAAAGTTTCTCATCATGATAAGTGGTATTTGTAAGAAATCACAGTTAACATCATATTTAATGGTGAAAGAATAAAAATCTTTCTTCCAAGATCAGGAAAAGTCAAGGATATCTTCTTTCATAGCTGTTATTAAAAACTGCAATGAAAACGCTATCCAGAACTATTTGACAAGAGAAATAAAGAAAAGGCATCCAGAATGGAAAAGAAATTGTAA